GAGGCTGAGCTCACCCGATTCCAACAAGCTCGAGGCCTCGCCGATCTAGCGAGACTCGAGCTCGCTGGCCTCGGGCGAGCTCGACCTTGCCAAATTCGGCGAGCTCGTCCTCGCCCGTGGCCGGTGGCCAGACGCCGGCTATCGTGGCCGGCCAAAAATAAATTAAAAATTAAAAATTACAATTAAAAATAATAATAATAATTGGATTTAAAAAAATAAAAAATATTAAATTAACAAAAAAAATAATTAAAATTTGTATTGTATGAAAATGTTTTAGTAGTATAATTTTTAAAAAAAGTCATAAGAAATAAGTTTTCCTTTACTGAATTAAATATAGAAGTGTTTTAGCAATATGAGTCGGGTCGGGTACAGATCGGGTCGAGTATGGGTCGGGATATTTATATAACAAATAAATGGGTCATAAACGGGTTAATGGGTTAATTTGAGTCGAACCATTTATGACCCGATCTAAACCCGATCCGACCCACCCGTTTAACATGTTTATCCTAGACCAGTGCTCTCGATTGGGTTTGGATGAAATGAATCAAACTTGAATCACTGAAGTGAATATGAAGGAAGTGAGAGAAGCTAAGTCTCCAAGGCTCTAGGACCAAATGGACTTAAAGGTTGATTTCATCAGCATCATTGGGAAGAAATTCAACTAGATGTGTTCACCATGGTGAAAAGCTTCTTTGATACACGTATTTTTACACCCAGCCTAAACAAAACACATATATCCCATATCCCTAAAGTTCCAAATCCTGAGTATCCATATCAATTTTGACTCATTAGTTTATGCAACTTTGGTTATAAGATCATTTGTAAGGTTACAGCTAACCACCTTTAACCTTAGTTACCTAAACTGATTGCGATGGAACCACTTAGTGGGAAGCAGATTCAAGATAACATTTTGATATTGCAAGAGGTTTTGCATCAACATGGTCAGAAAGAGGAAAAAGAAACTTCAAGCAGTGCGCGAGCTGGATATGGGAAAAGCTTATAATAGAGTACAGAGGAATCCCTTCAAAGTATTCATGGGGAAGATGGGCTTTAGTGCCAAATGAGTTTCCTAGGCATTGCAGTATGTCACATCAATCTTTTCTAGTGTCAAACTAAATGGAGAGCCATTGTCAAATTTCCAACCGTCTCGAGGAATTCAACATGGAGACCTGCTTTCCCCTTATCTTTTCATTATCATGGTAAATGTGTTATGTTTCATCACGAATAATGGAGTTGAAGATGGAAGCATTACAAGGATAAAGTTTCATAGACACTGCACTAAATTATCGCGCCTTCTGTTCGCAGATGATTCTATTTATATCCTAGATGGACCGATAAAAAATGATAGAGGCTTGGTGCTATCTTGATCTAAACAACTTGGTGATTGGTCCAATTTGAATAAGTTTGAAATTTATTTCAATATTTGCATGCCCTCAAAGTCCAAGAAGAAACATGGCTCGAGAATCGAGATTTCGTGAAATAGAGAAGATAAAGAAATACCTGGGAATTTCATCAGGTTTGGGGTCAATCCAAAAAACATTGTTTATGTGGATATTGGCAAGGGTCAATATGAAACCGGAAGGATGGAAAGAGTTATTAATGTCGAAAGCAGGGAAGGAGATCCAAATTAAAGCAGTTGTTCAGGCTCTATCCCAACATGCAATATCAATTTTTAAAGTCCCACTTTCTATTTCTCAAGCTATTGAACAAAAAATTGCACCACTCTGGTGGAAAAATAGTGATTCCAAGTCAGGGCTCCATTGGAAGAGATGGGATGTCCTGAAAAGAAGAAAGGATTACGGTGGGATAGGTTTCAGAGGACTTAATAACCTTCAATAAGGCTATGTTGGGCAAGCAGGCCCGGAAAATATCCCAGATTCCTTCTACACTAGTAAAGCTAGGTCCCAAAAGGTCTTCATTTTTCTAACCGTAATTTCTGGCATGCAGGAAAGGGATCTCATCTTTCTTGGGGATGACAAAGTCTGTCGATGGGAAGGCAGGCTAGAACTAATGCCGTAAGGTGGTCAGTGCGAAATGGGGAAGATATCAACAGCAGAGATGATGTATGACTCAGCGATTTGCGAATCAGGGTGAACCACAGAGAGTGGCAGAATTGATCGATGATGAAATCGTAGTAATCCCATTACTTGGACAAATTGGGGGAAAGACAAGCTGGGGTAGACTTGTGCTAAATCGGGGAGCTACTCGGAAAAGAGTGGCGACAATTATCTCAGAGACATAGAGAACCGGCATCATACAAAACAAGCATCATCCTTGTGCAAGCCTCCTAAATCTCTATGGAATTTGATATAGAACTTGAATACTTCTCCAAAACCCAGAATTTTCATTTGGAGCATATGTCAAAATGCACTTCCTACGACCGAGAATTTGTTCAGAGGAGAGTCATACCTGAGCCATCTTGCCCTCTGTGTCGACAGCACCCAGAAATCATTGATCATCTCTTCCTCCTCTGCTACTGAAACGAAAGAAGTTTGGACCCGAGTCGAATAAAAGAATGGTTCCTAAATTGCAAAAATTCCATTAAGAACACACCTTCATCAGATCTACCGGGTGAAGTTCTGTAGAACATGTGGTAAGCTAGAAATCAGTTTGCTTTCGGGCACCAACGTCCAGATCCGAGGACGGTTGTTGAATTTACCATATCCATGCGCAGAAATTTCGTGAAATGGTAACTCGGGCAAAAAAAACAGAAGAAAGTGCAGCCACCGATGAAAGGAACTATAGAGATTATACCAACGGCTACTTCGTGAAAGGGTCACGACCGAAGCTGGCAACTTTGGTGAGTCCCGACCTCACCGGATCTAGTGAAGGCAAGCCTTGGTCGATGCGAGTGAGGTTGGCCCTCACTGGCTCTCCCCCGTGGCCGATCGCTGGCCATCGAGGAGGCCGGCAACTGCGGAGGAAGAGGAAGAAGAAAAGAAACAAAGAAAAGAAAAGAAAAGGGAAAAATATAAATTATAAAAAAATTCGAAAAAATAATGAAATATTATTAAAATTTGTCCATGTTAGTACCGACGGTGCCACGTAGGACAGCCGATATTCATGTCAATGATTTCCGGCAAAAATTGATCGGATGGACTCATTCGGCAAAACGCGAATGTTTAAAATTCAATTGATAAAATTGAAAGATTTACGACTGAATTGACAAAAGTGTAATAGAGTTAGGACGTTTTGGACAGTTTTCCCGCGACCTTCTATGTTCTAAGGCCCATTTACCTCGTACTCATGGAATTACCTTAAGAAATGAAAGTCGATTCTTTCCGACCAAAAAATAAAAGCTCGCCATTAGTTTCTACACGCAGTGGTTACCATTCTCTCTCTCTCTAAAGAGCTCTCTCTACCCCCAATGGACTTAAATTACTCAATTGAATAAAAAAATTCACTTAATCTAGTATATAACGAGAATGTTGCTTCGCTCGTTCGAAAGAAAATTAATCGATGATAATTAGAACCTTGCTATATAAGTACTGATAAAACTAATTTATAATGATCTTCCATGTTCGGTACGGCATTATTAATATTGAACCGACCATTTTTAAATTCCCTGCGGTAATGGAAAGCTAAATTGAATCTAGCGGCCTCGTACCGACCACAAGATCTTCGAACGATTTCAAAGGAGATAGAATATTCCCGTAGCATCTAAAACGCTTGCGTTTCAGTACAAAAGAGAGTTTTACCTGAAAGAATTTACCGAAGATCTTTTTTCCGCGGTCGGACGTTTTGAATTTCAAAAAGAAAAGCCACGTCGGATAATTTATTTCTTTAAAATATTTTTTTTACAAAAGATCGGAACGAAAAGACATGTTGTTTTGCCTCAGTAATCGGATGCATTTTCACTTGATACGCGTAAAGAGGGCGGAAAATGAAGAGCTGCACTAGCTTCGTTGGTTTGCGGAGAATAAATAATTTGAAAAATATTGATTGAAAAATTGAATGAACGAAATAAAGATATTTTTAATGACTGATTATTTCAAGCGATACGAATATTCATTTTCAGGATGGTATTTTTTTAAATCATTTATTTTTTGCGAAACAAACGTAAGTTGAGATTGAGCACTATATATATAATTATTGAAAGTTTAGGAGTCGATGCATGTCCCAAGGGTTCGTGAAAATTTTCCATACTTTTTTTTAATTTCAAATGTAATTGATAACAAACACAGACACATAAGATAAATTTCTCATAAAGGGTGAGTCTATTTCGCGGAAAATGAGTAATCTGGGAAACATTTTCCTAAAAGTGATTGCCTGTATCGATTATAAAAATGAATGAACGAAAAATATATTTACCGTCCACGAAGATGTCCGGGCATAAATCATTATCGATAATGAAAACATTTTAATCGATTGATTATTTATCATCCATTTTTCGTCGATTAACGCAATGGGAAAAATCGCCGCCTAATAATCCGATCTGAAAATTCCCAAAAGATCGAATTAAATCAAATAAAAAGCGAATCGCAAAAAATACAAAAAAAAATCAAAATAAAAAAAAACAGGGGCTTTAAACACAGAAAGAGGACACCGTGGCAAAACAAACAGTTACGTGGGCCCCAAACGCCCCCCCTCCTCTCCTCTCCCGTCGTGCTGAGGTGGCAAAGGAAATTTCCAAAAGGGCGAAAACGCGATTCGGATCAACGACGGCGAAGGGAAGCACAGCAGAGAACTCCGCAAGCGAACGCGAACGCAGACCGGATTAATAAAACGAGTCGCGGCGACGTGCTGAAGAGAGAGAGAGAGAGAGAGAGAGAGAAAGGGAACGCGCGCTCGTGATTCAGCTGATCATCACTCTCCCCTCCAGAAGAATCCCCCCTTCCTTCGATCAGCGAAGCGCCCCGACCGATCGGAACCCTAGCTCGGTCAGCCCCTCCCTCGTCCTCGATTCGAGTCGCGCTCCGAGTCCGATCGGATTCGGCCGGAGGATTCTGATCCGGGGAGGGGGAGTTCACCGGCGGGGGCGGGGCGGTGGGCGGGGCGGGGCGGTGGGGGGGGGGGGGTCAGAATGAGGGCCATGGAGAACATACACGATCTGATCGAGGAGGCCAAGGCTCGGACCCTCTGGTGGGCTCTCGTCATCTTCGCCGTCTCCTACTTCCTCTCCCGTAAGTCCCCGCTCCCTCCCTCCCTTCCCCTCTTCCTCCTCGGGACTTTTGGGAATCAGTGACCGCCCTGTTCGTCGTCCCCCCGCGAGGGGAGCTGCCTGATTTTGTCGGTTTTGCGGTGAGGCGTCGATATCATGCCGTGCCGCTTCTTTTTCTTTTGTTTTTCTAAGTTGTTCTCGGAATTTGGCTGGTGATGGTAGTTTGGATTCGTTGGGTGGAGCAATGTGCCCTGTTCTTGCCTATCGTGGATGACTTTGTGTGTGGTTAGTGACGAAAATGGCGAAGGAAGGAGACTTTGTTAATGTTGAGTGGGAAACTTAGTTCGACAAGAGCAAGCAACCATGCCTTGTTCTACTGATATTAGTGGGATAAGGCTTTTTGGCAAGAATTTGGCACTGGGTTAAGTTACTTGGGCGGCGGTTTTTGGATGATGAAGTATTAGTGAACTACAATTTGTTCGTTCTATAACATTTTCGGTGGTAGTTTCGGTTGTCGATACAACCTCTTCCCATTATCTAGCTATGGACGGCGGTACCCAAATGCAGCTATCAACATCTAAGGGTTACTGGTGTATTAGCCTCGTCCTTAATTCTACTGTGAAAAATTTGGAATACACATGCAGATCAACTTTATGACCGTATTCTGTTTTTCTTTTCCTGAAACAATAGAATAATAAAAATTACCATAGTAGATTTGCGTACATTACTGAACCTGGACTTTGAGTTTCACACTTAACTGTTGAAATGTGCATGCAAGATTAGGCATGCACCTAGACACAGGTGACTGGGTAAGTTAGCATGAAAAAGTACACGGGCAGCACCACCTACCCTGCTCCCCAACTAAACACACCCAGTCCCACACACATGCGCACGCGGAGAGATTAAGATGTCCTTCACCGGCAAAATGGTTGCTAATTTGCCTCAGTGTTTTAGTGTTCACATAGTCTTTTCCTCTGTTAAGTCTGATTATCAGTTTTAGCTGATTCATCGGTAAGATGATTATTCTGAAGATGTATATAATGTTGCAGATACAAGTAAATCAATGTGGATGAATATACCTGTAGCAATACTATTTGTCTCTGCAATGCGGATTGTTTTCAATGAAGTTGATTTCCAGTGGAAAGTTCGGTCCGTCCGTCCCCAGTCTTATTTGTCTATTCTGAAGGAGAGGCAGTTATCCATAAATGACTCACGTCTTACAACTCCTCCACCTCCTCCAAAATGGAAGAGAAAAGTTGATTCACCTATTGTGGAAGCTGCAATCACTGAGTTCATTGACAAAATCTTGAGGGATTTTATTATAGATTTATGGTACACTGATATCACACCAGATAGGGACTTTCCAGAGCACATACGTGCAATAATCATGGATGCTCTTGGGGAGATATCAGGAAGAGTCAAAACAATTAACCTTGTTGACTTACTAACCAGGTATAGTTTTACTTTTACTTATTTATCTTATGGGAGTTGATTATAGTTCATCTTTAAATTGTTTGATATTAGTGGTTACAGGTAAAGTTAATTGTCCTCTAAATATTTCAGGGACATAGTTGATTTGATAGGTCAGCACTTAGATCTTTTCAGAAGGAACCAAGCAGTTATAGGTACTGATGTGATGGGGACTCTATCGTCTGAGGAGAGGGATGAAAGGTTGAAGTTCCATCTTATGGCATCCAAGGAGCTCCATCCTGCATTGGTATCTCCTCAGAGTGAATACAAGGTGTGAGGTGTAATATGCCTCATGATTTCTGGTCATCCATTGAGTTTTCTCTGTTTCATGTAGTCTCTGTGAATTTCCAAACAGGTGCTTCAGCGACTCATGGGTGGAGTTATAACTTTAGTCCTGAAACCAAGAGAAGCTCAGTGCCCTGTCGTGAGATCCATTGCTCGAGAGCTCGTCACTTGCTTAGTCATCCAGCCTGTCATGGATTTCGCAAGCCCAGCGTAAGTTTTTAGAACATAATTCTCTGTTCATATTCTCTAAAAGAGCAAATAGTCATGTTTTCTTTAAGCTTTTGATCATGAAAACTCTCAATAAAATGCATGGTTCAATTTCCTGCTTTGGTATGTACATGTCAATATATGTCATTGGGTAGATATGCAATTGATTTTCTGGATCTCGAGTTTGGCTTCCGAAATGTTTTCTCCTGGAAAATGAATAGAATTTGGTGGTACAAAATTTCCTCACGCATTGAGTTTTTGGTGTGTTCTCTTTGGGCTTGATTTTTTCTTATTGGTTGTTCTAGTTGTACCTTAGGAACCAATGAATGGTTGTTCTATGATACATATTTTGTTATGATGGTTATCTTGAATCCAAGATCTTAATGCCATTCAATGGCTAATAGACACTTTTTCTCACATGTACAGGTATATCAATGAAGTAATTGAATTACTTGTCCTTGCTTTTAAAGAGGATGGGAGCAAAGTATTTGGTGGTACCCAGGCAACTAATGTTGCTGACCCCCATGGTTTTTCTGGCACTGCTCAGGCTAAAGATGGTGAATCTAAATTTCCATCCAGCAATTCTAATATTAATGCAATGGTAGGTACACCTGGAGATGAATCCTTTGGTTCTAGTACAGTTCAAGAAGAGAGTAAGCAACCTAGGACTGCTGATTGGGCAAGGGTGCTGGAGGCAGCGACCCAGAGAAGAACTGAAGTTCTTATGCCTGAAAATCTTGAAAACATGTGGTCCAAAGGAAGAAATTATAAAAAAAGAGAGGCAAAGAAAGTTAAAGCAGCAGGTCAGGAATCAGTTGGAAGTGGGTCAGTTCATTCTATTCCTCCTATAGATCGAAAACGGGAATCATCAATCACTGGGGCGGGAGATTCTACTAGATCTGAAGAGAAAGCCATAGTCCAGTTGCCTTCCCCATCGGTCTTTGATAGTCCACTGGATCTTGAGAATGATTCTTCGAGAAAAGAAAAACAGCCACTTTTTGGACAAGGGAATTATGAGGAGACAATGGAGGATGCTGGTAATATTGGTGCTAATGACAGGAGAATTAGACTGAAGAGATCGAACAGCACTTCCGCTTTAAAAGTTGATCCAGAAACAAAAAAGGCATTTACAGGAGGTAGTGAAAGTGCATATATCGCTGAGTTCTACAGCCCGGATTTTGGCAGCCATAGCTTTGATTATAAACTTAAAAGTTCCTCGGACATGGTAATTCGAAGCGAGGGTCCTCGTCTACCCAAGCTCAAGTGCCGGGTAAGCTTTTTATGCTGAAGTTTTGACCCGTAGATGCAGAATTGCTGTCAAGTCTTCAGAGAAATGAAGAATCCTACTCTAAGCCAAAAAATCTTTTCCAGTCAATGTACTGCAGATTTGTTTTCTTATTTAAGTGTCTCCTTACAGGTGTTGGGGGCATATTTTGAAAAACTTGGATCGAAGTCTTTTGCGGTTTATTCAATTGCTGTGACAGATGCAGGAAGCAAAACATGGTTTGTCAAGAGAAGGTGTGTTTCCTATCTTTTTTACTATATAACGGTTGGAGCTGACTTCTGAAATATGTAACATTTTCCTAGGGAACTGTTCTGTAATACTGTAGATGGGTTTCTGTTCTTTTTCAGTAGATATCAGGATATTTTGGTTTATGGTAGTCTTTTTGGGCCAGCAGATACAGTAACTTTGAGCGGTTGCATCGACATCTTAAAGAGATTCCTAATTATACACTACATTTGCCACCTAAGAGGATATTCTCATCAAGTACAGAGGATGCTTTTGTACATCAGCGCTGCATTCAGCTTGACAAGTATCTGCAAGTATTACTACATTCCTATTGACTCTTCTATATTTCTTTGCTGTTTTTCATTTTCTGTAATTTAATTATGCTGTCTCACTCCAGGATCTTTTGTCGATAGCTAATGTTGCTGAACAACATGAAGTGTGGGATTTCTTGAGTGCTTCCTCAAAGGTGTTCAATTTCTATTATAATATGAATGAATAGTCATGATAAGTAGTTTTGGCAGAGTAATTTCTTTCTTGTACTTAAATTGACTGATGTCTGATATGTGTCAATAATCTCTTTCTTCCATAGAACTACTCTTTCGGAAAATCATCTTCGGTGATGAGGAGCCTAGCAGGTACGTCTATATCTGTTCATTTATTGTCTGGATGTAATGTGTGGCAGATATTTTGTGGTTGTGGTGGTTGGCATGATAAGTTCCTTGACCTCTGTTGTGCTCGTGGGCCTAAAAAGCCTGGTTTGGTTCTATGCTGTGAGCAGTATCGAAATTTCTGGTTGGGAACTTCTCAACCAAGAACCAAGGACCTAATCCAAGATCGGAAGCATGAACCACCCTTCGGTTCTGCTCACGAGTTTTTTTCCTTTTCCTGTCTATTTTATCCTCATCTTGTTCCTGTCTCTTCCTCAGCCACATCATGTGTCAGGAAATATGGAAAAAAAAAAAAACCCAAATGTGCAAAACATACATTGATAGAGACACATTGATTTGGAAAAAAAAGGCTGCAGTTATAGAGATGCGAAAAAAAAAAGCCTGCAAAAAGCAAGGTGTTTCCCAATTAAGTGATCACATGATGATTAGATTCTCCCAAGAGGTGGGAGAAGAAAGTTGAGAGATGAAGACGAAAGTTGCAGTGGCTTTTGAAGAACGTGTATACTTTAAGCCTGTGCAATGCTCAAGACCTGCTTTTGTAAGCATTCACTGGTTAGCACTTGACAAGATAGTAAAACATGTGGAAAAATTAAGAGAGCTTTTGACTTTTAATGGGCACCTGAACAAAAACCAAATGTAAATTGAAACATAATGAAAAGCTAAATTAGTCCTGCTAAGGGCCAGAAAATTTCAGTATGGTTCTATCAGATCTGTCTGGTTTTTCAGGTTCACCTGGTATTTTAATAGGTAGATTCACCTGGTTGTTTTGACATCCTTAGTTGTGCCTGTCGTTGGTCGTTCATGCCTTATACTTGGCCTCTCTTAACATGTATGTAACTAACCAATGAAAGGCTTTAAGCATATGTTATTTGGAACTTATTGTTCGTGTTGCTAGGTGAGGAGTAACTTGTCCTTTGTGAATTACTTTTAGGCCACTTTTGCTAGCCCGTGTATAGTTCCGGATAGGGTTTTATCTACCTGATCTGTAGGATTTGAATCATGTCAAATATCTGTTTCCCATTTGAATAGGGAAGAAAGATTGGCTCATACTTTTCCCTAACTCTGCCCGGGGGGGTTGAATAGAGAGAGAGAGAGAGAGAGAGACTTATAAAATCACAACTCCACACCAAATGACAGCTGATCCTCCCACGTTGATGTCGCTACTGTTCTTGTATTTCCAGAGCTGTAGTTCTGCTAATCAGGAGGCAGCAGGAACTGCATTGTTTTGTTCCAAGACTCCTCTCTCTCTCTCTCTCTCTCTCTCTCTCTCTCTCTCTCTCTCTCTCATACTGGTCATCAACCTGCACTGTGCTGCTCACCGTTCCATGAATAACCGCAGTCTTTCTTTTATAAATGCAAAATGTTCAGCAACAACTGAGTAATGTGATTGTTTTTTAAATGACAGGAAGAATCTTAAAGCTTTTAATTATTTTTACTTAGAACCATCAACTTTACAATGTTGAAAAGAATTTTTAATGTGACTTCCATGTTACACTTAGTCCCTTTGGTATATGGTCATTATTTTATCCATAAAGTACTAGGAACATCCTTGCCTTTAGCTGCTAAACATCACGCTCTATCAGTAAAGTTCATGGATACTTATTATTAGGCTATCATCCACACATTCTAGCCAAAAAAAGGGTTATCATCCACACAGTGTGCTTTCTCATTTCACTTAAAAACATGGTTGAGCAAGTTACTCCATAAATGTCCCCAGATGTGCGTGTGTGCGCGCGCGTGTGTTATAAATGAAAGGATACATTGACAAAGCCTTTTATTCACACTTTAACAATTCTTTTATGTATCCTTTCTTTTTATCTCATTGAAGAGTAAGTTGGTTTTCAGTAAAACATGGAAAATCTATGAAACAATCATTTAAAATAATACAAGATTTTGTCACGAAAGTATATACATCCATTAATGAGTAAATATGTACCCTCGCAGGGATTCATTCTTCTATTTAGATTGAATCTGAGATGTTTCAGGCAACTTTGTCCAATATGTCTATGTAAATGATTACTGTATCAATGCGCTGTGCTTTTTTTTTTTGGGCTTTCATGCATGGTGTCGATGCATAGAGAACGCTAAGTAGATTCTGAAAATATAGAGGAAAGTAAACTTAGAAGAGATTAACGATGTAACAGGAATGCAAATTGTTACATTTATGTGGAATTATGTCTTGTTGAAGCGTGCTAATGTATTGAGAATTAAAAGTTAAAGTGATGAAAATTGGAAATGTCACCTAAAATAAGTTACATAAGGTCGTGTTATTAAGTGCATTTAAGGGGAATAAATGAAGAACAAAATTGAAGATGGAGAGTAGGCAAATCGAGGCCTGCTTGCACCAATTTTATGCCCTCACTACTTCTCTACTATTCAACCCCCAAAACTCTCCTTTCATCTATTTTATGTTGCTGAATTTAAAAAAAAAAAAAAGAATCGCACATTCTATTTTGACAGATTCACTTTCTTGGAGAGTATTTTTCTTTCCACATACCCGACTTGTTTTCAAGAAAATAGGAACAAACACTTAGTATCTATGAAAATGAAAACTGAAAACATTTTCTCAAATTAAACAGGCCCTTAGATTTTTTCAACATTATGATTGAAGATTGCGAGGAGTGTTCTGGTTGTCTCATATTTTTACCTCTTGACCTCTTTTAGAAACCCACTCAGCAAGGGCTCTCCCAAGTCCTACCAATCACAACTTGGTACTCAATTTCAAGTTGGACGGACTTGTCAAAATAAATAGATCCAAAGTCAAGTCACACAAAAAAGAAAAAAATGAAAGCACTCTTTCCTTTTTTTGCATCCATAAGAAAGCATAATGGTTATTATGGCCATGACTGACCAATGCAGTTGGTAAGACAATTTTAAAAAAGAAATACACTCGATCTCAAGTAACTTCAAAATAAGTTTGAGCCCACAGTACTCCAGGTAACTAGGGGTGAAAATGCCCAATGATATCATACAATAAATTCTTGTTTTGGTGATGCACATGCTTATTAATTTGTAATCATCTAGAAGAAGGAATGAGTGTAAATTATGTCCTTGCACTCTACCTAAAAGCTGTAGCAGAATTTTGAGATTTTTTTAGAGGAGAATACTTTGGAACAACACAGACAGTAGCTCAGGTTCCATAAAGTAGGGAAAGTGGGAGTAATTGATGAGGTTTTCGCATCTGGTCACTTATTTGAGTGTGTGACAATCAAAATTATTCTAGACTCCTTAAGATACTTGAGAGTATCTACCACAATCGAAATTATACCATATTGTTCCCTAACCAGTCTTAGACCAACAGAAAGTGAGAGTACTTTTTCATGGTGTGCCCACCCATTTAATATTAGTGTAAAGAAAATGTATGCATATGGGCTGGGAATGGTGAGAAGGTGGCTTGGAGAGAAGGAGGCGGGGGGGGGGGGGGAGGTGATGTTGGGTGTGGTAAGGATTTGAGGGAATGAGCATTTGCAGTTCAATTTTATGAATTAACCATTTTTCCTCAAAACTTGAGAAACGAGCTCGCAGTTTAAATCTTACATATTCCTTTACACTCCCTTGTGAGTACAATCTTACATGTGAGGCACAGGATGCCATATTGATGGAATTGGAGATTACATCACAAGAATAGGAAAGCTAACAGAATAACAGTAAGAGAAGTGTCAGTATCGAACTTGAACTCTTGACCTGTGCTATATTATTAATGTGAATTAATCATTTTTTTAACTTTAAACTGTTAGGTAATGGGCGCACAATGAATATTTAGCATAATTCTTAATAAATTGATTAATTTATAGTGAATCCATTTGGATCTTAATTTTCTAAGCATTAGAGGTTGTAGCATTGAAGAAGTGCATCTATCAATGTCGTGCTGATCATCACTCAAAACATGACTTTGTTGGGGTGTATACTATCATCTGGTGTTTTTAAGTAAGTGGAAACGGAAATTTTATACTTAATTTTAATGACATCTTGCACTTCCCTTTTTATTTCGAGTACAAAATTTGGATAACATTGTGCATTTTCTTTTGTGATTTTTAGTTCACTCACGGCTTTTCCCCTTCCTGTCAATGAACAGTGAATGTGGACGATGCAGTGGATGATATTGTCCGGCAGTTCAAGGGGGTTTCGAATGGATTAATGCGTAAAGTTGTAGGTCCTACACCTTCCTCTTCTGAAGCATCGGCGTCGATTTCAGCGAGGCACCTGTCCTGGAATGCAGATGAAATAGATAGATATGTTTCCAGGCAAAACACTGCAGAAACATCAACCAGTATCTCTGATAATGAGGATGGTGATGGAGATGGAAATCGTGGCAGTGATGAAGTAGGATCTAGTGGACATGCAAATGGATGGCATTCAGATAATGAGTTGAACTCCAAGAATTTTCCCCCTCGGGTGGTCAAACGTGGCGAAGGCTCTAGGAACTCATTGTCTGAAAAGAAGCATGGTTTGGTGCTTCATTCTGATTGGAATGGGCAGCCTGGTTCTTCCCTGACAAATTTTCAAGCAGCTCCAGATCAATTGGTAGACCCTGTTGGCATGCCTCCTGAGGTACTACTGGATTTAGCTACTTTTCCCCCCTTTTTCTTCAACCCACCTGATTAGGTTTTATTGTTCCTTGTGGTCCTCCTGTAGATATCCTGCAGATTTAGCATCTATCCTTCTACCAACTGATTACTTTGACAAATGTGCGTGGCATGAAAATTGAAAAGATTTATCTTTTTTTAATTTGTTTATATTCATACAGTGCAGGATCAATTCATAAATTGTAGATTACTTGTAAGAAACATATGATATATTAAAGAATCAAAGAGTTACAATTTAGTCAGCTCTTCTTTGGATAATTATTTCTGCTTCGGATAACAAGTGATGATTTACTTAACAGTTATAAATCTCACTTTTTGTGTAGGAAATGTATTTTTTTGGAGTTCCCATTTAAGGGACTGGAGAGTGTGTCGTACGTATTTCACAAGGTGCCTTTATAGGCTGAAGTTCCCTATCTTTTGTGTATGTGGATCATGAATTATTTTTAAATGTTAAACTGGGAAGTAAGTGTTTGTGTAGTCTGGTGTTGTGACCGATCAAATCAGATCCGCGATACCTAATGATCTGAACTCCAAATTCTAGACCTTCTATCCTGTCGCCCGTGTATGTTGGGGTCACTCTAGTCAATGACATCTATCCTGGTAGACGACCTATGCCTTCTGAAATCTTGCTTAGGTTGGGCAGTTCAAGTGTTTTGTAGAGGAGTGCATTTCTCATATGAATTTTGGTAAGCTTTAATGAACAAGTAGTTCTGAGTCAGCTCACGGTATAAGTGCTATTGTTTTGCATACATGAGCCACAACGGCCTCAAGGTCGGCATCTTACACTGAAGATGTGTTTGAAAAAGGTTATGCCTGCTCTATATAATGCATCAAGAAATTGTTCATAAAGATGTAGATGGTGGATAGGTCAAACAGTGGACTTAAAAGCTGACAACCGTTTTCTTTCAGTACATGTTTATTTATAATAATCTTCGTTTGCCCTGACAGTGGAGTCCTCCGAATGTTTGTGTGCCTATGTTGAATTTGGTGGACAAGATTTTTCAGCTTAAGAGGAGGGGGTGGCTAAGGTGAGCTGATTGACCCTTTTCTTCTAGAACTAAAATATAGTTTGTTTGACTTTTGTCCCATTAGCGATTGTTTGAACCATGAGTAATTCTTGTTAACTTATTAAAGAAATTATCAATTCAGGTTAGTTTGTAACTGTCACATGACTTTGCTGTCTGTACTTTGGTTGAATTAAGTTATGATGAGTGGTTTATCCTGTTAAACTGTAAGTTATTTGTAGATTGTTTGTCAATGGCTGTAGAGGGTCGTAAAGTATGTCTGTCAGCTTCCTTCACTGTTGAGTGTAGTACTATTAGCTAGTTTTGTTACTCGTTAGGAACACTAGACTAGGATTAAGAGGTTCTAATGGAATAAATTCGACTAACACTTTTATCTCAAATTGATTTTGTGCCTTATGTGGCATTAGTGCCAATTCTCTTTTAATTTCATAGTATTTAAGAGATCAATAAAAATACATTGGAACGCATGGAATCGCACATTCAATAATTAGGTTGCTAATTATATCCACGGGCACGGATTACCTCCCTAATATTTATCAAGCATATTTGAAAAGATGTCAAAGTTGCCAATGCGCCATTTAAAATTCCTCTTATCGCTTGCCTTCACCCCACTAACAGTAAGGCACCATCACCAGACAAGTAGATAATCGCTGGCATCTACTTAAACCCCACAATTGGAAGACTGCAAGATGGAAAACAAGATCCCCATAGGAAGTGATTTTCTTTAAATTTTGCAACATAGTAAGAAAGAAAAAGTGAATGCATCCATGTACAGCAATTAAAGTTGATCAAGGAAAGTTCATTTGGCTGCCTAAAAGTCCTTGTAATATAGGCTTGGTACACCATGCAATACTCCTGACTCCATTGAACACAAGGCCTAGAATAAACTCGCCACTTGTCAAGTCTGATACTGACTGTATTCTTGTAAGACTGCAAAAAGACCCATTCTTCTGTGAAAAGAAAAATGAAATTAAATGGAACAATATGCTGTCATAGGTTGTATGGAAAGAGTAATACAGTTGTTGGCAGTCCTTAACGGTTGATTGTCAAAACTCTTCGATGCAGGAGACAGGTATTTTGGATTTCAAAGCAGATTCTACAGTTGGTAATGGAAGATGCTATTGATGATTGGCTCTTGAGGCAGATTCACTGGCTTCGAAGTGAGGAAACTATAGCCCAAGGAATTCGGTGGGTTCAAGATGTAAGAACAAAGAATGCTGTCGTAACAGCCTTTTCTAGTAAGGATGTGTAGTGCATGCAACATCTATATTATTTAGAAATGAGGGAATATGATTAGCTGATGTGCATTCAGGATTAACCTGATCTGAACATGACTAGCTTTTAATTGGATTCATATATTTCGAAGCACGATTGCATGTAGCAGTAGGATAAACCTGATCTGAACATGAATGGCTTTTAATGCTATTTATATATCAAAACAACTGGCCGAAATATAATATACATTAAAACATGATTGCGTGTAGTTTCTTATGTAATGCTCTTTAACCAGGCAGTATGCTTCAGAAGCAATATGACCTTTTCTTCGCAATGATCTGAAAGAAATGAACTTCTTTCAGGTTCTCTGGCCTGATGGTACATTTTTTCTGAAATTTGGAAAAAGCAAGATTGAAGAAGATGATATGCAACCAAATGAAAGATTATTTCAGACTATAAATCAGTTTGGTGGGAGTAGGATATCCAAACAAGGGTCCTCATCCTTCGAGTTGCAGCTTGAAGCTGCTCGCAGAGCCAGTGATGTCAAGAAGATGTTATTCGGTAAGTGAATGGTAGCACATGACCCCTAATTTAATTTTAACGTGTGTAACTTATTACGTTGTCCTTTTTAATCTTTGATGGTAAAGCTGTTCTGTGTTGCTGGTTTATTTGCCTTTTCTGTTGGATAACTAATTGTATTTTAAGTACTCAAATTAATGATTATATCTTGTTTAAGTATATAGGTATAGAAAAAGAGGTGAAAAAAGAAAATATCTAGCCACTGCACCCCATGCCTGCAATGATTTATCCAGTGGATAGTTTGCATCTTAAGTAGTTTGTGTATCAGATATCGTGGTTTTACTACTTGGGTATCTAGTTATTTAAGCTTTTACCATGATTTGATATATTTAACTAAGACCAATGTCTTGAAAGCATTTCAAGGACCTTTTATGGCAAGTGAACATTGAGTTTATGTCTATCATGTATACAAAATTCATAATAAGTGATATAAGAAGAAGAATACTGCTTACTGCTGTGGAAATATAATTAAGAAGGAAATGAACTAATAAGAGAAAAAGCAATCGACGGTAACTTAAATAGAAGCCTTCTTTTGACAGTAAGAAATTCCTTCTCTTCCGAAGGTTTGTATATTCTAATATCCATAGCAACAATGTTGTCCTCTTGGAACGATCTTGTTTTATTTAAAGTACCCATCATACATATAAGACGTGCCGTTTCTTAGTGGATTTCATATGATGTGTGGAAGTCATTTGATCATTTTGTGATGAGTCAAATGTCTTCACATCGCCTTATCTTTTAATGAGCTAATTGGTGATCATCTTGTGAAAAAGAAATATTTCTTTTAGCAATTAGTTAGGATATTTTTGCTGGGGACTATTGTTATGATGGTTTTGATATCTTGCCTAATCGTGAGAACTGAAATTACAGCAAGGGGACAGTGGATTACACCTCATGAACAAGAAAAATGAAAAAAATGCTAATCTCTTGTTCCACTATATTTACTCTCTGTAACCTGTCTCTTTCTAGATTATGTAACTTTGCTCCGTATGACTCATCGACTGCAAATACCAACTATTGATAAAATTGTCTTGTTGAAATTGCATGTTATTGACTGTTTCCTTGTGTAAGCTTCCCTAGGCAGTGAGCGCTATAATATTTATGCAAAAGGAGACTAAAGTTTCACCAAAAAAAAATCAAGGAAACCAGTTGAAGTATAGCTTCCATCAGACCTTGTTATTTAATGCGCATAATTGGAATTGGGAGAGCAGGCTTATTATAGTAATTGGATTGGCTTGAAACATAAGAGTATACATGCTACACAAAGTTCGGTGGTTGTATATTACAAACAAAAATAAAGATGAATGAAGAAGACTGCGCATGTAATTAGAATGTCATAAATCATCTTAGTCAATTCAATCAAATACTTTGTTTGCATATCTTCCATCTCTTATTAACCGCGTACTGATGGAGTTGAATTTTGTAATGGCTGGTAAACTTTCATTTTCATCTCTATCCAATAAACTTTCTTCTTTTATTTACTTGGGGGTGTATAGGTGCTTTGCTTTCAGGGGTAAATACATGGCAGCAACTTTTAACTTTTTATATAAATGATGCATTTTTTGCCCTTATGTCAGAGGGAGCTCCCACGACGCTAGTCAGCTTGATAGGCCACAAGCAGTATAGGCGTTGTGCCAAAGACATGTACTACTTCCTTCAGGTTACCATCGTCGTTACCATCGGCTCACATCTTTCTCTGTTATTTTTATATTATTTCTATTCTCATATTGCTACTGTCTTCCTACAATTACCTACATGATGCATCTCAACTGGATCATTTTTTTGTTCATTTTGAAATGTGCAGTCTTCTATTTGTGTGAAGCAACTGGCGTATGGAATACTGGAACTCTTACTAGTGTCGGTTTTCCCCGAGTTGCGTGATGTTGTCGTAGACATCCATCAGAAGATGCGTGTCGAGCAACCTGCTTAGGGCAATTAACGAGGGATTTCACAATTTTGGCCATGTCGTCTTGGAATAGTCCACTGGGTCCTTACCGCCGTTACGTCCTGTCTATGTTGAACCTTCCCCTATCGATCGGGAATATACAAGTAAATGAGGATTGCGAATTCACGAGGTCCGACGAAACCAGTTTTGCAGGAAAGGATCGGGCTTTGTCTCCTCCAATGCTAACTGTACAGAAGCGCACATTCAGCGTCTGTATATAGTTCATGTGCATACCTTGTTTCACTTGAAGCAAAATACCCCCACGTTTGATTGGGGTACGTGTGTTCTCCTTTGTGCATCTTTACTGTTTGAAGATGAAAAGGAACGACCCACCCAATTCTTTCTGTATTGTATACCCGAACGGTTGTCTGTTACGATTGTAGAGAAGCTCAGGTGCTAATGCTCACAAATGTGCGCTTTCTCCATCTCTCTTCGCTCCTGCATGGCCTCAATTTTTAGTTGTGTGCAACTTAACAATTCTGGACTTGTGATGATTGAGCATGCTAAGAACAGAACTGGTGGTTCAGTCATGCCGATCTCTCTCTCTCTCTCTCTCTCGCATGGGGGAATCGGAGCACCCGGGTTTTTACATTGTCGTATGCTTGGGGGGCGAGATTTTGGTTCTGATGGTGCTGATTTGGGGGCCAACTGTTGTCCGTACAAATGATCACAAAGTGAGGTTTTAACTTAAGGGCTATGTTTTTTGTCGAGAAAAAAAAATGCATAGTTAGTGTTCATATGTTTAATGGAAAACTGTTTGTGGAAATTTATTTTCTGACCTTGGTAAACGTTTTTCATGAATTGAAAATAAGAAATTTAGATCGAAGGAAAACTTCCCGTCTTGTCAAGGAGAAAATTACTAAATAAGTTAGAACTAACTATTCTCTTTGAAAAACGATTTTCATTGAAAATATTTTCTTTTATCTTGTAATTTTTAGTGAAGCAAAAGCACTCTTAATTAAAGTGATGTTCATCCACTAGTCATAGGCATATACTCCTGCTCAAACGATGGAGGAAATCATCGCCTTTTGTTAAATATATCTTTAGTGTATTTACGGTACCGAAAGAGTGATCATTGCCTCTAAAGAAATATTTTTGCTGAATTACTCATACCCAAGCTCGGAATCGCTCCTGTACTAATGGAGAGCATACATGGATTCCTAAAATTTAGTTCCTCTGGCTTGTTTCATTTGTTGACTTGCTTTTTAAGGTACCTGAGCAATCATACTCCTAAAAGTCAAGGCAACACCATGCTTTGGTCCGGGTACGTATTTATATTATCTGTCAGTGTTGAGACTCGGACATCGCTTCATTTGCATACTACTCCTACTCCTATGTCCGAAACTCGCGCGAGTCCCGACTCTCTGAAACTCTTTTCACAGAGAGAGAGGGAGAGATGGTGGGGAGGAGGACTGGTAGAGGCCGAGAGAGCAGCGAAGGGCGGGCGGTCAAAGGCAGGAAGTAGCGGGAAAAGAGAGAGCCGCTCGGTCTACAGGCGGTTCAGGGAAGAGAGGATCAGAGAGAACCAGGAGAGGATGCAGAAGCTCGGCATTCTTTCTCTTTCCTCCAATCTCAAATTCATTCTCGTGAAACCCGGTCATGTGGAGAAGAGGTCGCACGTCTCTGCTTCTGCTTCTACGCCTCTGCATTCGGTTTCTTGTCAGGTCGGTGTTGTGTATGCAGTGATTATCTTGCAGTACTATGTCTATCATTGTAGCGAGGAATAAACCATATTCTCTTTTTGAATGGAAAAACTGTCGTTCAGATGACTAGTTGATAATTTCGTTTTGGCAAAAAATGGAGTGATATGCTTACCAGTTAGCAGTAGGATATGTTCACTTGTGCAGATATTGCATAGTCTCGTCGGAATCAGTACGGAAATCCTGAAATTAAAAAGGTATTCGAATTCGAAAGGATTGACTTCAACAATACCCTTTCTACTTCTTTTCTACTTCTGCAGATACGGAAATAGGGTCTTTGTATCGGTTGGACAGTCGCAAAGTTCAACTGAGACCAGATTAAGTGTTTCTGTTTGCCCAAGAGAGGCAGCACAGGCAGTGAAAACCTACAGCTTGAAGTGAGGTTACATGAGACGGCACAATGGCATAAGGATCACATCAGTTAGAACAGATGATTAAGATTCCGCACATCTGAATAAACGCTGAGAAAACTATCCAGCAAAAACATAATTATGAAAAGAGTTCGTAGCAGATTTGTAACTTTCTGAATTAAATCAATGAGGTTGGTACGTGTTGTTGTAGGCTTCTACTTGGAGAAGTTAAGAGACGAGAATTTGACGGACCTGCACATTATTCCTCATTCTGTTGAGCTGACTATATTTGTTTTCCAATTGACATAGCCAATCATCAGAGACTCGGAGTCGATAGTTCTTATACACTGTTTCCACTATCAAGTGATTAGTCTCAGAACATATTTTCGTATGGGCTGGTGATTCTATCACGAAGATCAGAGTATAGGCCGTACAGAGAGTACCGGCGAAGATTCTTTACTTCGTACCACGAGTTGAGCACAACATCGTTCTTGTCAGTACCCGAGAACGTGAGCTGTATGCCTATGTTGCACGCCCCGGCATGACCACACTTGGAGTTTGATACTGCACAGTCTTGGTTGTTGAGGCAAACAGCGGAATCCCCGGAGCACGAATCGCACCCGAACTTCTTCCAGTACAAGTTTTGGAGCGTACCTTTCTGGAACTCAAGGACCTGTGGCGAACCGTATCTGCTGTCAAATACGAGGGAGACAGAAAAAAAGGAGGAAGGAAAAGTAAAAAGAGAATGGCCGGTGAAGTGACAAATAATCGATTTTACGAAATTTACCAAAGTGAAACTGGTTATTGTGTGCGTGAAATCGGCCACTTGTACTGGCAATGATCTTGCAGCATACTTACGTCCAGCGAAGGCTACCATATATCCTCCTGACATTGCCTACGATTTCATAAATAACATCAAACGAAAACTTCATGGTAAAGAGCAATTTCATTGTCATAGTGATGTTGCCATAATAAATATGAACAATCACACCAATCTCATGGGGAAAGATGGCCGGTACTATCAATTTGATTCATAGGATTAAGTGAAAATCAACACTCCTAGAAAGTGAAAGTGGAGAGGAGTAGAAGAGAGAAACAAAGCTAATTGTTTGAGAGCGTTGGCTTCCAATCGAGTATCGAAATTTTTGTCCGTTTGCAGATGTTACAAAAAAATAACTACGAGAAAATTTGCACTGGAGCAAACGTGTCGACAAAAAGGGTGCAGATTCCAGCGCACAGAAGAATATCAACAAACCAACAGAGAAGAAGACATCAGAAAGGGCCTGGTCTCTAAACTAATCCAAGTAGCATCAATTCCTCCAGGATGTTTTGTAATGTGAAACACATTTCTAAATTATCAACCATCACTCAAAATGCCAATCAATATCTGCTGCTTTTAGTTTTCCTTGAATAAGAATACACAACATTGCCACATTTAACATATCAACAGAAGTAAAGACATTAAGAAGACACCAAATCCAAAGATTATAATGGAATTCCGACTTAATCAGAAAGAGAAACCAATCTTCTCTGGGGAACTTAATGCACAAATTTAATTTGATTGAAATCGACTTCCCTAATTTCGGAGAGAGTTAGCCTTCACAGCTTTGCACCATCACCTGGTCTATGTACAAAAGAGTGAAAGCACCTTTTATCACACCTTCATTAGCCAATGCTGGTCTCTGAAAAATATGTCCTAGCACAAACAATTACGACCATGGACAAGCTCCATAATCCGAATTTTAAAAACCCAAGTGATGATCGACAAAGCGAACAAACGAGATGCTCCATCAAGCATGCCCGCACGATTGGTAAAAACCATGCGCTGATAACACTGACATATGCTAATTAAGCACATACAATGGTGCAGACTAACATGCACTGTAGTGCATATATACACACCATTCTTACGTATCAAAGCACAGAATTAATTGAAAAATCAACTTCACACGCTTCCTAAAGTACATACCGGGTTGAATGTGCTGCTGTTGATGGTGAGCAGAGAGATCTCATCCACTTTTGGCCTGAAAACTGCAAGCTGAGCATTAGAGCCTGCTAGAGGAAGTCGCTGATCACAGGGCGAAAGCTGAATCTGTTGAAAGAAGAACGATTCCTTCGTGGAGAAGGCAAGGCCGAAGGTAAACCCATCCCTTTTCTGGATTTTCGTGTCCGAGCACGGATCGAAAACAAGATTTGTGTCTGCTGCATCTACGGCGACTGTCATAATCGAAATCGCCGCTATCAATGGTATCAAAACTGATATGTCCATTGAACTGTGTGCTCCGCGTTCTCCCATCTTCATTTCTCAAAATCTAAGAAAGGCGAAAACTTCATCAATTGCGCAGGATTTAATCTCACCGACTACGGATGCGAAAATGAGGGACCAGTCATGATCTGCTTCAGTAAATACGGGGGATGCCTCGACATAACATGACATCAGGAAATCAGATGAAAGAAATATACTCACTCTTGATTTCTAGCACCAAGAACCAACAGAATCAGAGAGAAAGATTCACAAGAATAAACTCAAGCATTATCAAATCCCACCCGCATAAGCAAATTCATAGTATGAAAAAAACCCAGTTGGGAAAAATGCTTGCTGATGCAATTATTATGCAACATACATGGAAAGAGGAAAAATCACAGTCAGTTCTGGATTTGCTCGAACCAATCTATTAAGGCGGGAATATAATCTTCAACATATGCAGTTTATGTCAACCCATTTAATGCATCACCTCGAGCACATAATCCATCAAATCATAAAGAAAAAGGACAAAAAAACGAAAAAAGAAAGCCAAGAACATACCTCGCTGATGCAGCGGAAACTCTCTATGCTCTCGCGGGAAATTTCAAGAACAAGAAAACGAATCGAAAACTTTCTGCAGAATACGTCAAGGGAAAGTTCCAAAGGGGTCGAAGGCTTAAAGAAACGGTGATTGGAGTGTGCTCGCAGAAGATGCGTAGGAAAGCTCAAATTGCATGGGAATGCGAAACTTTGATGATCTCAAAGTTTGCAAACTGCAATTTCAAGATTTCAAGGAATTAAAAAGAAAGACGGCAAACGTTGAAGGAAACGGCCCCGAGACGCGCGAAACGGTCGTATCGGCAGGCCAGGTGGATCTTGTCCCCAAAACGGTTATGGAAGTTGGCATTCTGGAGCAGATCACGAAATGTACTAGGTAGTTTTTTTCTTATCTTTTGAAAAGTTATGTCCCAATCGATAAAAAAAAAAATATATCAAAACATAAGGCCTAAGGCGCCAAGTAGGATGAGATTCATGGCACGCGGATAACTATGATTAATCTATTACGTCATGTCATCACCGGCACGGGGTGTAATTGCCATAGAAACTGCTTGCTCTATTGGGTGGACAGATCGATACTAGGCTGGACGGGCAAGTATACGAAGAATTTGAAATTCTGGTTGCAAGGTTGTCGAAAGCAATGCGAACGCAGCCGAGTGGCGACTAGGAGGACAGATTGTTTGGTACATTTGGTTCAAGTAGATAATTACATGATAAGGTCCTAGTAGAGTCAACATTACATCATACACGTGAACATCAACAAGAAGTCGAATCCTTAGGTTTTATGATTGATTGATTTATCAACCGAGTGAATTAAAAGCTGCAATGCAGTTAGCGCTCTATTTCTTTCATGGAAAATGAATGATTTGAAAAATATTTTGATAAAAAATAATCGCTTATATCTCTTGAAATAGTTAATTGATGAAAAATGGTTTCGTTATTAACAATAATTTATATCTAAACATTTTTATAAATAACGAAAATATTTTTAGTTTATTCATTTTCGCAAGCGATAATTTTTTTGGAAAATGTTTTTGAAATGATTCATTTTCCGCAAAACAGCTTCTTTAAAAAACAGTCAATGAAATGCATTTTCACTGTCGATAATAATTTATGTCTCGATATTTCATGAACGGTGAAAATATTTCTTTTAAATTCGTTTTAATAAGTGATAAAAGCCATCTTTTCGCGTAGTTTAAGATTAGATGCACGCGCGCGCCATACACGTTTTTGGGCCAAAGTCGAAGCGCTCGTTCCATCAGACAGCCAAGCTCGAGACGGCCAAACTGAGGAAGAACTGTAGGAGCAAAACCTTGCTGATGATCAAGGACTTGAACAGGGATCGAACCACCCCGATTCCGTGTTGGACCCAATCACGCACCGAACCTCCCGGTGATGAGGGAACTGAAACCCCATTTGCTGACCAGCTGTTGGGTCAGGCGGCTTCATGCTCCGCCATCCGCTTCGCCGTCCCTTTTCAAGAACGGGCAACCCAGTGACGACCACCTGATCTCTCTCTGCCAGCGAAGTCTCTACAGGGAAGCTCTCGAAGCGTTTGACGCCTTGCGAAAGACCCCGGATTCTCGGCTAAGTACCAAGGCCTGCGTCGGTCTGATCTGCGCTTGTTCCGGTCTGAAGTCTTTGAAGTATGGCCGCCGAGTACATGATTGCATTCGCGCTTCCGGAGTTCAAACGGACGTTATACTGGACAACCATATCGTTAACATGTACGGGAAATGTGGGTCAATGGCGGATGCGAGGAAGGTGTTTGATGGAATGCGCCACAGGAATGTGGTTTCTTGGACTTCCCTCATTGCTGGATACTCACAGAATGGTCAGAATAGTGACGCTCTGCAACTGTACTTTGAAATGTTACAGTCAGGTTTTTGGCCTGATCACTTCACTTTTGGGAGTGTTTTGAAGGCTTGTTCCGGGTTGGGAGGTGTTGGCTTAGGGATGCAACTGCATGCCCATGTTGTGAAATCAGAGTTTGGTTCTCACCTTATAGCGCAGAATGCTCTTATAGCAATGTACACGAAGGTGGATAGAATTGGTGATGCGTGTAGTGTATTTCGTCGCATAAAAGAGAAGGATTTGATTTCATGGTGCTCAATAATTGCAGGTTTTTCCCAACTCGATCACGAGCTACAAGCCTTGTGCTACTTCAAAGAAATGCTTTGTCAGGGTGTATATCAGCCAAATGAGTTTACATTTGGCAGTGTTTCCAGTGCTTGCGGGAACCTGCAACAACCGGAAATTGGAAGACAGATCCACGGGATTTGCATAAAGTTTGGATTTGCGGGAAATAAATTTGCGGGATGTGCCCTTTGTGACATGTATGCTAAATTTGGCCTCTTGGGTTCGGCTAAGATTGTGTTTCGTCAGATAGAAACGCCTGACTTGATATCTTGGAATGCAGCTATTGCTGGATTTGCTACTAATGGTCATTCCAATGAGACGATATCATATTTCAATCAACTGAGGCGTTTAAATTTCCATCCTGATGATATCACTGTCCGCTCCTTATTTTGTGCTTGTATGAGTCCATCGTCACTCCAGCAAGGTAAGCAGATGCACTCGTACATTATCAAAATGGCATTTGTTCTAGATATTTCAGTGTGTAATGCGTTAGTTACCATGTATGCAAAATGCTCCAACCTCATGGAAGCATTTAAGGCATTTGAAGAGATGAGGCACCATGATGATCTCATATCGTGGAATGCAATTCTTGTTGCATGTATGCAGCACAAAGAGTCTACGGAGGTGTTCAAATTGTTTAAACTGTTGCTCATTTCTGAAGTGAAGCCTGACTATATCACATTAACTACCATGATCGGGGCCTACACTGAAATGGCATCTCTAGAAATGGGAAACCAGGTTCATTGCTATGCCATGAAAACTGGGCTGGTTCTTGATGTTTCTGTTTCAAATTCGCTGATTGACATGTATATGAAGTGTGGATCCGTCAAAATTGCACGCAGTCTCTTCGATTCCATTGTAAATCCTGACATCATCTCATGGAGTTCTCTGATTGTGGGGTATGCTCAGTTTGGACATGCTGAGGAAGCTCTTAAGCTTTATGAAAAGATGAGAAGCCTTGGAGTTAAGCCAAATGAGGTAACAATTGTTGGGGTGCTCACTGCTTGCTGTCATGTCGGACTAGTGGAGGAAGGATGGGAATTATACAAAACCATGGAACTAGAACATGGGATTATACCTACTAAAGAGCATTCTGCTTGTGTGGTTGACTTGCTTGCTCGTGCTGGTCATTTATATGAAGCAAAAGGTTTTATCAAACAAATGGAAGACACTCCTGACATTGTGGTATGGAAAGCTCTGTTAGCTGCCTCTAAAACGCATAAGAATCTTGAAATTGGAAGATGGGCCGCAGAGAATCTCCTCAAGCTAGATCCCCTTAATGCTACTGCTCATGTGTTGCTTTGCAGTATGTACGCTTCTACTGGCCATTGGGATGATGTCGGAAGATTAAGGAGCTTGATGAGGGAACTAGGTGTCAGCAAAGTTCCAGGTCAAAGTTGGATTGAAATTAAAAGTAGGGTTCATGCTTTCTTGGCTGATGATAATCTGCATCCTGAAAGAGACAAAATATACCAAGTGATGGGGGAACTGTGGTTACAACTGCTAGATCATGATTACGTTCCATTCCAAAATCGTGTGTTAAGCAGATTGAGTTGAAGAAAATTAATGCAAATGTGCACCTCTACTACCCGGAATTGCATATAGGATTCTCGGTTCATTATGGTTCCCTGGAAAAGGACTTGCCAGACTGCTGCAGGATTTACTAGATGGTATGCTTCTGTTCATTGCAAATTTCATGCATTAATGCATCTCTTAGGAATTGTTGTTTGTTCCTTTTGATGTGCTATCTAGCAAAAGTTGTATTTATGGTTTTTGTGGCACAATAGTTGTGTTTTTTTCTCTTTTGAGAAAGGGTCACCACAAATCCCAAACTATGTCCACTATGACACATTTACCCCGAACTATTTTTTTTGTGACACTAAAATCCCCAGACTTGTATCCTTTTGACACATACCCTCCATTAAGGTTATGACAATGAGCACCCTTAAAAATATTATGTGGCTGCCTACATAGATGACGGAAAGAAAATGGTACTGACTTGGTGGGCACGTGGCTTAAGTGAAATAAAAACGACATCGTTTTGACTGGAAAATCATCTAACCTGGTTTGTTCAGGGAAAGCTGTTTTGCTTTGTGTCCTTCTCTTTCGCTGAACTGAAGAGAAGAACAAATTTGCTTCAAATTCTAGGGTTCTTATGCTCTCTCCCTCAGAATATGTCAATTCGTGCTTGCTCTCTCTCTATTGGTTCCTCCACGTTCTCCGGTGGTCGATGCTCTGTCTCTCTTTCTGAAGCTCGATTTGATGGTTGAGTTGTTGCTGAAGCTTGATTTTTCAATATGGGACATGCTCTATTATCTTCTCTCTGGATTCGGTCCCAAAAGCAAGCTCAATTCTAATTCGGTTTTTCTCTGAATCTGCGACATAACATCCTTGAGTTTCTTTAGAAAATGACATGTCAAGTTCGCAAAGCTTTTCCTAATGATCTTGAGTTCGCATTGTGGGTATGCAAAAGAAAAGCAAAGAAGGGTCTTGTTATTTTTGCACCCTGGAATATAATGTCGGTTATCTTTTCCTTAAGTTTTTCAGAACATGATATATCGGTTACCTGTTCAATATCGTTCTATTTTTTTATTCTGGAATGAAATATAACACACACACACAGAGAAAAAAAAGTTGGGTCTTGTTATTGAACAGGGTTCTCTACTTGTTTTCGTTGTTCAACGTTTTTTTTTTGGTCGGAACGTTGTTCAACAATAAAGGGTGTTTTTTATCAGGCTTACAAAATCCACAAAGTGTGCCTATCCCAGCTCTAGTGAAAGTTTTCATTGCCTGAACTTCTTGCCTCTTCCTACATGTTTGCTTTTAAGACTGATTGGACCTGCTAACTTGTGGCTTCTAAATATTCTTTGAACATGGAGATGCAAACTTATGTATCCTATTTTTTCAGTAATTTCAGTGATTTATTTTCTCTGTGACACCTGTTTGTGTTTGTGTTCTGGGTTAGTAGAATGAAGAAGCGGCTTCTTCTGGTGTCTAAAATGCCCACAGAACTGGAGGTTTATTCTTGATTCATGTATTTGTCTCTATTACCTTAAAAATGGGATTTTTTCCAGCCATGACAGTAGGTCTTCTAAGCTCCAATGGAGAAGCATCTAAGAGCTCAAGAGGAGGCTGCTGGAGAAAACTCGGCCTTGACAGAGGTGCCCACAGACGTAATCTCCTACATACTTTTGAGACTGCCAGTTAAGATGCTGTTGCGATTCAAGTGCGTTTCAAAATCGTGGTGCTCCATCATCGAACACCGGTCGTTTGCTGATTTAGTTTTAGCTCAGTTACTTGGTCGCTTCGACATCACCTTGCTCATCTGTATCATGGACAACATTGAGCCAAGTTGCTTTGGCCGTGTTGGCCGCAGGCACTTCAGCTTAGACCATCAAACTGGATTAGCCACTCCCTTGAGCCAACTGGGCCAGACTATCAACATGACTGTGGAGGATTCGCAGAGCGTCATTGGCCTAATTTGCTTCGAAATTGGGGATCTTACTTACCTATGCAACATCAGCACTGGAGAGGTCAAGGCCCTTCCGCCTACCGGTCCCGATTTCCCCGTCCATTTGCACCGTAACATCCGCAGCTTCAGTGTCTTGGGCTTTGATCCGGTCGCAAAAGCACAGAGTCATGGAGACATGGGTTCTGAATGCCCTCAACCATTCATGTGAAGTAATCACCGCACACAAGATTGACATAGGGAACCGGTTCGTGGAGGAAAATTGGTAGCGGCACTATTGAGTTTCCTTTGGGAGGTAGCATTTGCGTTAACGAAGCTATTCATTTCCTGATGCTTGAATCAGGTGCATAGGCCTGAAGTTGATACCATTCAGTGGTCCTCTGACGGTGTTAGACTATGAGCACCTTGAGGATGGAAACATCATCTGAATGTATGTACTAGAGGATTATGCTAGTCAAGTTTGTGCAGAATGTCAACTCGTGCTACCCCTTAGTTGGAAAGAGAATCAACTGCATTCTTGGCGGTTTCTCGTTGTTAGTGTCCGTGCTGGAAAACTCTTGATTGCTCCAAAGGTTACAACTGGTGAAGTGTACTTGCTGTCTTATGATGTAGAGAACGGGACTCTGAAGAAGGTCCAAGTCCGTGGTCTCCGCAAATCCCTATTGAGGAGTTCTGTGATCATCCCTTGTGCACTCATTGGATTTGTGCATAGCATTTTGGCTTTTAGTGAGGTTTGCTCGTAAAGCTGTCGCACAAACCTTTCTTCTATATAGTAGCAGTGTAGGCAATTAGCATTACCACATATATTTGATTAAAATATGTCCTTTATGGGTTATGGTCTTTTAAGGAATGCCTTGATATAAGTTATAAGTTACGTTGACACTTGCAGCTGGTTTACATCTCTTAGGAATATGCTGTATATAATTTGTTCTTTGTCCCCCTTCTGTTTCATCAAGCATTATTTTCCATCTTTCGCTCAGATAAAAGAATTCACATGTATCTGGTGGCTGACCCACAAGTAATGAACAATTGGCTGACCCACCGATTGTTCACATTGTGCTGAATTGGCTTCTCACATTAGAATTGACTAGTTTCCATTAGGAACAACTAAAATGATCGAGGGAAATTTTGAGGGGTAGGCGCTGAAATAACTCTTCTAGTAGAAAGAAAGTGAATTTGTTTCATTTGACTGGGTCTGAATAAGCCCTGTCTCTTCTAATTTGAATGCATTCATTTATCAAAGCTATCTCACAGCCAATTTACAAGTTCTTTCCTATTTAGTCTTGAAGTGAAATAGGATCATCTATCTGCGCAATATGCCCTGATTATTATGCATTGAACTTCGTTATTCTTTTGTTATTTCTTGCTCTCTGGAAAGATTACTGCAATATTGTGCTGATTGTCGTTGTCATCATTACCTGTTTAGCTATTACATTCATGAATGCTGTTTGCATCTGCTGGTGTGCATTATTCTCGATTAGTGAGTAAAAAGCCACCATTATATATTACAAAGTGTGTGGGTTGATAGTTATCACTGCTTCGAACTAGGTTGAATATGTGAAGCCAAAACATTGCCAATATAATCCATGAATCATCTCAGGTTATATCGGTAAAGTACCGTTTGAGAGGATAATAATTGTCTTATTATGTTTAATGAAGGAATATGCATAAAGTAAACCCCTCTAAACATAATATTACAATTCTACCCTCATAATCATATTTCTAACACTCCCCCTCAAGTTGGGACGTAGATATCAAATAGTCCCAATTTGTTACATAAAAAACTCACTCTATTCCCTTGTAGAGATTTAGTCAAGATACTTGCCAGTTGATTCTCTGTCCTTGCATGTTGAAGAATAATCTCCCCTTTATGGACTTTCTCTCGTATAAAGTGACAGTCAACCTCAATATATCTAGTTCGCTCGTGAAAGACAGGATTGCTAGCAATATGGATAGCTGATTGATTATCATAATATAATGTTGATGGATCTGATGTTGACATACTAATTTCTGGCAATAACATCCTTAACTAGAGTAATTCACCTGTCACATGTGCCATAGCTCTATATTCTACTTCAGCACTTGATCGAGAAACCACATGTTGTTTCTTACTTTTCCTGGCCACTAAATTACCTCCAAATGTAGATCTCCTATCAGTAGGATATCCAGCCCAATTTGCATCAGAGAAGCCTGTAGTGTTCATATGACCATAATTCTTGAAAAGTAGTCCTTTACCTGATGTTCCCTTCAAGTACTTAATAATCCGCAGTACAACATCCTAGTGAGTAGTATGAGGAGAACTCATAAACTGACTTACTACATTGACAGCAAAACATATATTAGATCATGTGACAGTAAAACAGTTCAATTTACCCACTAATCTTCGATATTTCATTGGATCACATAACAATTCTCTATGTTCTGCATCAAGTTTCACATTAGGCTCCATTGGAGTATCAACTAGTTTTGCTCCAAGAAATCTAGCCTCATAAAGAATGTCAAATACATATTTTCATTGTGATAAATTAATACCCGCCTGTGAGTAGGCAACTTCAATCCTAAGAAAATATCGCAGACGTCCCAGATCCTTAGTATTGAATTTTGTATGAAGAAACTTCTTAAGTCATTGGATACCATTTGAATCACTATTAGTGATAATAATATCATCTACATATACCACCAGACGATCACAACCAGCTGAAGAGACAAAACTAAATAATGAATGATCTACTTGAAATTGCTTTAACCTAAACTTGGTAACCGCATCAGTGAACTTACCAAACCAAGCACGAGGAGACTGGTTGAGTCCATACAAGGCCTTATGTATACAACATACCAAATTCTTCCTCAGAGCAACAAAACCAGATGGTTGCTTCATGTACACTTCCTTAGCTAAATCACCATGTAAGACGGCATTTTTGACATCAAGTTGATGAGGAGCCACTCAAAGTATGCTGCTAGGGATATAAAAGCACGAACATATAGGATTTTGGCTACAGGTGAGAAAGTGTCATCATAATCAATACCATACGTTCCTTTGGCAATCAACCGAGCTTTTAATCGATCAAGAGTACCATCAGGATGAACCTTAATAGTGAAGAACCAGTGACAACCAATGGGTTGTTTCCCTTTAGGTAAAGATTTGAGTTGCCAAATACGATTCTTAATAAGTGCCTTTATTTCATCTTCCATGGCGTGCCGCCATCTAGGATGAGCAAGAGCTTCAGCAACAATGCTAGGCACAGAAATAGAGGACAAGAACAAGATAAAGGGACAAAAGATAGGGGACAAATGATCATATGATAAGAAATTGGATATAGGATTATGAGTAAGAAGACAAGGAGAAAGAACAGAAAAATGACCATAGCGATTCACAGGAAGACCAACACAAAAGCGTGTACCTTTCTGAAGAGCAATGGGCGGATCAGGATCAGAGGATGGTGCAATAAATGGTGAGGGGACAGATGAATCAGGAGTCGGTGGGACTTGTGTTACTGTGGTAGGAGCTGTAATACGCCAATGATAAGTGCGCTTAGCAAACTGAAATCCGATCGATGGTGCTGGAGGTACTGAGAGTGGTGGAAGTGCTGGTAGGACACACCCGCCACCCTCAGTAGCCACCATAGGTACCGTCTGAGTATTATAATAAGTCTAATTTTCAAAGAAAGTCACATTTGCTGACACAAAAAGACGACAACGAGTGGGACTATAACATTTATAGCTCTTTTGAGTTCGAGAGTACCCTCCAAAGACACATTTCTCGGCACGAGAATCTGACTTATCAACTGGAGTAAGACAATGAGGAAGGCTGACAGAGCTCGGCATGAGAGGGGCAGATATGGAGTTGGCTCTAGTGAGTCGCCGGTCTGGGTGCTCGGCAATGGCTTTAGTGACGAGATCTGGAAGAATTTGATGAGGCCGACAGATCTAGAGTTGGGTGGTGAGGTGGCTTGGCAATGGGTGTTCGGCGATGGCTAGGGTTGCGCCAACGGTGGCGGCGACCTCTAAAAATTTGCTTATTTCAGCCTGCTTTGATATCATGTTTGAGAGGATGATAATTGTCTTATTATGTTTAATGAAGGAATTACAATATATATATATATGCTTAACGTAAACTCCTCTGATCATAATATTACGATTTGAAGAATTTAGAGAAACTCCTCTGATCATAATATTACGATTTGAAGAATTTAGAGAAAAGAATTGTGATAATTCTCATTCCACTTTGTACCACAATTACAATGCTATATATAGGACTATTTTAAGTACAAACTAGACAAAAACAAATCTGAAAAATACGGCTATAATCCCCAAAATTAAGGGATACTAAGAAATCATTTCCTAACTAAATATTTACAACTATTTCCTAATAATCAGGACCTAAAAGTCAGGATCGAATATTTTTAATAATCAGGTCCTAAAAATCAGGATAATTCAACACTCCCCCTCAAGCTGAGGAATAGATGTCTTCCATTCCTAGCTTGGAAATTATTTCGTGAAAGATCCCACCATTAAGTCCTTTGGTTAGCACATTTGCCAATTGATTTCTAGAAGTTATGTAAGACATGCAGATCAACCCCTCTTCTAGTTTTTTCATTGATGAAATGTCTATCAATTTCAATTTGTTTCGTCCTATCATGATGTACGAGGTTATGAGCAATGTTAATTGCTGATTTATTGTCACAATACAACTTCATAGGACCCTCCCACTCGATTTTCAAATCTTCTAGGATGATTTTGAACCATAATAGCTCACATATTCCTTGGGCCATTGCTCAAAATTTTGATTCAGCACTTGATCTTGCAAGTTCTTTTTTTTACTCCTCTAAGTCACTAAATTTCCACCAAGAAATGTGTGATAACCAGATGTTGACCTTCTGTCCACCGTGGATCCTGCATAGTCAACATCAATGTAAGCTTGTAGCACCAGTTTTTGATTTCTTCTAAATAGGACTTCTATTCCGGGACTTCCTTTTAAGTAATGTAGCACTTGATTGACGGCTTGTAAGTGTGATTCTTTTGGGTCATGCGTAAACTGACTAATCATACTCACCGAATAGGCAATATCAGGCCTAGTATGAGCCAGATAGATGAGTTTTCCAACCAATTTTTGATACATTTCCCGATTTACAGCAGGTTCTTCCTTTGCCTCCCCAAGTTTTATATTAGGCTCGATAGGTGTAGCTATTGGTTTACAACCGAGTTTTCCAGTTTCTTTCAAGAGATCGGTCACTTACTTATGTTGTGAGACAAAAATTCCTTGTCTAGAGTAAGAAACTTCAATGTCAAGGAAGTATTTGAGTCTTCCCAACTCCTTTATTTCAAACTCTTTAATCAACTACTGTTTTAGCTCTTATTTCTCCTTATCATCGTCACCCGTGACCATAATATCATCAACGCACACTAGAACTACCATCACTCACTGTTGCTGAAGGCTTAATGAAGAGGGTATGATCGCCTTGGCTTTGTTTGTAGCCTGAAGCTTTCATAACTCTGGAAAATCTCCTAAACCAGGCTCTGGGCGATTGCTTGAGCCCATATAGTGCTTTCCGTAATCTACATGCTTTGTTTGTAGTCCTTTCTCCTTCAAGGCCTGGTGGAATACTCATGTAGATCTCTTCCTCTAGGTCTCCATGTAAGAATGCATTCTTCACATCATACTGTTGAAGTTGCCAATTAAAGTGAGCCGCCAGAGAAAGTAAAATTCTCACAGTATTCATTTTTGCCACTGTAGCAAATGTCTCTTGATAATCTACACCATAGGTCTGAGTATAATCCTATGCCACCAATCTTGCTTTATATCTCTCAAAAGAACCATCAACTTTGTATTTCAAG